CGGGGGGGGGGGGGGGGGGGGGGGCTGGAGGGCCCGGCGGGCGGGCGCGCCGCGGGGCTGGGCCTCGGCGCCCGGGGAGGGGACTAGGGGCGGGCGCGGGGCGGTGCCCGGCTCACGTGGGCGGGCGGGAGCGGCTGAAGGTCCGCTCCGGAGCCTGGGCTGTCCTCTCGCGCGCGGCGCTGGCCGGGGCGGCGGCCGTGGCGGAGGAGGAGGAGGAGGAGGAGGAGAGAGAGAGGCAGCGGTGGCGGTGGCGAGAGAGGAGGGGAGGACGGGGGCGGCGTCGGACTGGAGCCGATCGGCGGAGCGAGCTGCCCGGGGCGCAGTCGTGAGCTCGCCCGCCGGGCCCCCACCCCCTAGTTACACCCTGCCGTGCCCAGCTCTGCCCGCGTCCGTGCCCCCGCGGGGAGCGCGCCGGGGCTGCCCCCCGAATGACGGGCGGAAGGTTCGACTTCGACGATGGCGGGACCTACTGCGGCGGCTGGGAGGAGGGCAAGGCGCACGGGCATGGCATCTGCACGGGGCCCAAGGGCCAGGGAGAGTACTCCGGTTCCTGGTCGCACGGCTTCGAGGTGGTCGGAGGCTACACCTGGCCCAGCGGCAACACCTACCAGGGCTACTGGGCGCAGGGCAAGCGGCACGGGCTGGGGGTGGAGACGAAGGGCAAGTGGATGTACCGGGGGGAGTGGTCACATGGTTTCAAGGGGCGCTACGGGGTCCGGCAGAGCCTGTGCACCCCCGCCCGCTACGAGGGTACCTGGAGTAACGGGCTGCAGGACGGCTACGGCGTGGAGACCTACGGGGACGGAGGTGAGCGGCGTCGCGGGCTGCTCCGCGCTGGGCTGGCGCGGTGGGCTCTCCCCGGGGCTAGCGGGGAGGTGGGGAGGACGCGGGGCGCACGTGTCCGGAAACCCGCCAAAACACCTGGGGAGGCTCCCATCCCTCCCGACCCCCCCCCCTTTCCCCGGGAAGATCGCGTGGGCACGCGGCTGGGTCGCCAGGGTCCGATCCCACCGTGTTCCCCCCCGGGGTGGGGGTGGGGGGTGGCGGGAGGGGTTGTCCACACCCGGGGGAGTTAGTGGTGCGTGTACCTGGCGGGGGCCAGGGCCGGGCTGCCACCCGGAGGGCTGGGCAGGGGAGAGGACGCTGTCACTTGAGCCCGTCACATTACGTTCCTGATCCCTCCCTCTCCGGGACGGGTTTGAAATCGCCACTCTTGGTGGAGTTAGGCGGACGCCTTGGGCTGTGTGGCTGCCGGTCTGTGCTGACCGCCCGAGCGGTTTGGTTTCACGTGGAGTCTCGTATTTCGCTTCTGGTCCTCTAGTTAGCCTAAAGATAGAAGCCAGAACCCCGTAAGTGGGATGTTGGGGAACTGGACTTTGTCGAGGGTGTATTTTGGAAGAGTCCTAGTTATGGGCAGCAGAGGGACCCAAAGCAGGTGAAATTCCTCATTTTCTTTCTAACTTTCACTTGGGTCCTTAAAGTATTTCGAATCAGCAGAACTGCAATATTTGCTGACCTGGAGATCTTCGGTAAAATGCTTTAGGAAAATAAATGACGGAGTTTCCGTAAAATAAACAAATAAATAAATAAGAGAAAAAAGTTAAAAAGAATGTAGAGTATATCCCTGATATACTTAAGGGGTGTGGCCTACGTGATATACCTGGATGCGATTTAACAATGTTCGCCATCTAATTTGTGCATGTTATAGGGGAGTTCTCATTATTTTTAAACTAAGAAAGCACACATTAGTGAAACAGGTGTGAAAACTTGATTAACTTCTTTGAAAACAAAGCTGGGTGAGACAAATGGCTTATGTTTTGGGGGAGGTACATTTTCTGATAATAAGCATAATCACATTTAATTGAAAAAATTGTAGGAGGCGATGCCACCTTTTGGAATTAAGCGGCTTCAGAGTTGGAGGATATTAAAGGCATCCAATTAAAACTTTCTCCAGCCCACTGAAATTCCGTTATGCTTATATAAAAGCTTATACAATTTGTACACTTCACTTGCTCAGAACACTTGGGCTGTGTTTCAGATGCAAAACAGCAGAATGGTAGGATTTGCTTTGGGGGGGGGTACATCTTTTCATCCTACAGAAGTATAAATAAAGGCGATGGTTCTCATGGATTAAAAGGGGGGGGATCTTAATACTTTTCTGTGAGCTAAGCCCTGAGTGCTATGGTAGTTTAACGGGGGCCTTTAGCTGTTCAGAGGCAGCATAAAATACCTTGACTGGCCACCTTATATGTTTGCTTGTGAGTGGATTTTATTGGAAGCCTAGCTCTAATAGAACAAAATACTGTGTTCAACAATGGAAAATTTGTTATTTTTTTTTAATATGGTCATTTTATAGCCCTTATTTTAAAGATTATAAAATAGACTTATTTTTCTTATAATTTAATTACAACATAGACTTCTTTTAAAAGTTAAAACTCATTAAATAAAACCTGGTGATTTAGTGTATTCATTATGCTTAGTAATCAAAACATATAGAGCATGGTGAAAAAACATTTATGTGTCTGTGTTGTTTGTACAAGGGCAAATACATCTCCAAATGACTGAATAATCTGCCTTCTGTTTTAAACCAATTTTGAAAATTTAAAAAGACAAAATTTGGCATCATCATAGCACTGTGGTTTTTAAAAAAAACCTCTGGTGTGCTATAATCAGAAAAAAATTAAACATGCAAATCATTTTTGAATGCCTACTCTGTGCTAGTCAGTTTCCTGGTTTTTCTCATGTCACCACATTTTATTAGAAAATTCATGATTTAAAAAAAAATAGCCTAAATGATACTGTATGCTGCAATTTAAGTCATACCAAGGTTTTAGCCCCCACAGGAATACCAGCTTCTCTGTTTCTGAGATCTGCCTCCCTTCCCATGTGTTTCTGGTGACAGCAGAGGAGGAGGTTGTAATCCCATGTGAGAACTATCACTTTATTTCACTAGAGATCTCCATGTAAAATGTCACTGAAATAGAAACTCCCTATATATTAAGAACTAACTGCATCATATTCATGAAATCCAAGTCCAGATGCCCAGATTCTTTTGTGCAAATTCTGATCTTTCCTTTTTTTGAAAACCGACTATAAAACTACAGAGGATATCTAGGAAGACAAACTATGCTATTCATGAATTTGAGACATACAAAGGTCGCTTGTAGCCCTGGCTAGCTTTACGCTGAGCCTGGCCTTGAACTAAAAGCATTCTGCCTCTACCTTTCCTGGTCCAGCTTTATGGACCAGGACAAGGTGGGGATGGAGTCCAGGGTTTCATTTGTGCCAAGCAGGCACTCTGCCAACAGAACTACATCCTCAGTCCCATCCACTGGTTTTAAAACTAGAGTTAAAGTCGCCTGTTTCATATAGCCATTCGCAGCATATACTTAAATTTGGCACTCGGCAGTCCAAATTTGACTGAAATTCATGCTGATATGGAAACTATTCATTACAATATTGTACAGTTAAGATGGACAGATCTTTAAAAAAAATCAGCTCCCCAGTGAACACAATTTAAATCAAAACCTGGAAAAAATCATTTGTTTGTGTGTTAAATACGCAGTGTCTTAAGAATGGAGAATGGTAAATCAAAACTCTTTATGGACAAAAGAGCTTGGAGAGCACCTGCTTCATAGAGAAATAGGCCCTGTTTTCCAGGTTCCTTGATGAAAACAAACCTCTTTAAATTTTCAGATCAACTCCTAAGAATTTGAGCGAATGGGTTTCTAATGGTGCTGTGGATGCCCTGTTCTCTCCCCTACTGTTACAGTCTAATAACACGGAAGGGAAAGTTGGGGATACCTTTGTCCGTGCCCCTGCCCTATATGATAGTTCCAGAAATTTTTAAACTTCCTGATCATTTCTGTTCTTTAAACAGCCAGAGTTTTCAAGCCGTTCTTTGGCTTGGCTTTGGAGCTGTCATTTGGAGGAAGGTGGCCATTAATTTCCCATCAGTGTTTAAGATTTACTAAGATGGGATGGTTGTGTTTTAAAAACATAACTACTGGTGCCAAGCAGCATCTTTACAAATTATTTGAGTAAAATCATTCTGTAGAAAAGTTAGAATAATGGAAATATGGCATTTTAACAGATCAAAATGTTAAATACAGTGGATTGTTTTAGGCTGTATAACGTTTATCCTACTATTTAGATTTTATCTAGGGAAAGTCAAAGTTGAAAGTTTCTGATAATTTATTGTTTTCCTATTGAGGCAACAGTTTTTGGAGATAGCTGTTATTCTGTAGGAAGCTCATCATAATGGGGGAAAAAAACCCTGAATGTTTTTTTAGACAGGGTCCAGCTGTGTAGCCCAGGCTTGCTCAGGACACAGGAACCTTCTGCCTTAGACTTCCAAGTGCTGGGATTGCAGACATGTACTCCCATACCCAGCTTCTGAACTTTTGTATATAACAGTCTTGCCCTGGTTGAAAGCTGTGCCCCACCCTCTTCATAAGTTCCTAAGTCTGAAGACTACAGGTCTACTCTGGATTTAGCAGTCATAGTACAAGACCCCTGGTACTAAATGCTGTTTAGTATTTCACTGTTGCCTTGCTTTGGTTGATTTGTATAATGTGAATGTTAGCAGGAGAAGAAAGAGAAGGTGGTCTTGAAATTGACTTAGGAACAATTTCTATTTACATACACAGTGACATAAAACCACTAGCCGGACAGGCATGGTGCTGTGTTCGTGTAATCACTACATTTACAGGGCTCCGGCAGGAAGATTGAGAGTTTCAGGCCAGCCTGGGCTACATACTAAGAACCATGTTAAGAAATAACAGTACCCTGAGAGCATTATCTCTTGTTGTATTAAGAATAAATATATCCCAATCACTAGAAATCTGCAAAGTAATGTTAAACACAATGTGTAATCAAAAACAGAACAAGGTCAACACAAACTATAATCATGACTTATTTTCTTTGACATTGGGAATTGTTGTGAATAACACTGAAGTAATTACATTTAAAATTTTTCCAGATAGCTGTTCTGAGGGCATACTAGAAAGCAAAATTTGCCTTTAATTAAAGGAAATGGCCTTGATTTTGGAAATTCTGAGCTCCTTAATTTAGCCTTCATTTCCTCCAAAAGAGCATTGAAAAACCTCTACCATGTTATTTTTAAAATGTATCTTTGGTTATTAAGTAGAAGAACTCACTGAAAATATTTTGAGAGTTTATCTTATTCCTAAAGAGTATAATATTCATTGAAAAAGCTCAACAGAATTTTAATGGACACTGCCATGTATTCCTCGGAGATTTGAAAACGTTTCTTCCACCCTGTCAGTTCTTTGAACCTCTCTAAACATCATCTTCAGACAGCCAGAGACCACAGGGCACATAAGCCATGAGTTTGAGACATTTGTCTCCTTTTCAGGATCAGTTCCTGGCCTCAGGTACTTCCAGTGGCCTGAGACTCAATGCTTGGCAGAGACTAGGGAGATACATAAAGAGAATGGCCAGGAGGAAACAGATTTAGCAAGTAATATGGTACTGTGCGCCCAGCCGCCCTTGCCCCATCAATCCAGGGTGCTCCACGGCTTGCCCTAAGCGTAGGGTGTTTGATGTAGTAGAAAAGCCAATACAGCTTGTTGGACAATCCACGCCGCAAGTATTCTGATCACTGTTACTAATGTTAAACCTGTGTGCTCTTGAGAATGCTGTACTGGGCATACACCTAAAAGCCATTTTTGAATCAAACAAGTAAAATTGTATTTGAAACCATGACTAGAATTGAGGTTTTTCTGTGCTGTGGCACTGCTTCCCTTTGATGTTTTCAGGAGGGAAAAGATGATTCCTTGATGATGACACTTTCTGTATTAGGGGGGAAAATGGTTCACAGCTCCGAGGGTGCCTAGTATGTACGAGGTCCGAGGTTCAGTCCCCAGAGAAACGCAGCAAACACTGGTTCCTATGCATGCCTACCATTCACAAGGCTGCCCAAAGTAGTGTGCTAAATTTGACCCTGGCCCTTCCCGCCCAGGGTACTGTTCTCTCAGTGTGCAGATTCCATCCCCTCAAACTCACCCTCTGCTGATGTCTTTTCTCGAAGGTACCTACCAGGGCCAGTGGGCCGGAGGCATGCGGCATGGCTACGGCGTGCGCCAGAGCGTGCCCTACGGCATGGCCACGGTGATCCGCTCCCCGCTGCGCACCTCCCTGGCCTCGCTGCGCAGCGAGCAGAGCAATGGCAGCGTGCTGCACGACGCTGCCGCCGCGGCTGCAGAAAACCCAGCCGGCACCAGAGGCGGCTTCGTGCTCAACTTCCACGCGGACACGGAGCTGGGCAAGAAGAAGGGGGGCCTCTTCCGGAGGGGCTCGCTGCTCGGCAGCATGAAACTCCGCAAGTCCGAATCCAAGTCTTCCATCTCGAGCAAGCGCAGCTCCGTCCGCAGCGACGCGGCCATGAGCAGAATCAGTTCCAGTGACGCCAACTCCACCATCAGCTTCGGGGACGTCGACTGTGATTTCTGCCCCGTGGAAGATCACGTGGACGCCACCACCACAGAAACCTACATGGGTGAATGGAAGAACGACAAGCGCAACGGCTTCGGCATCAGCGAGCGCTCCAACGGCATGAAGTACGAGGGCGAGTGGGCCAACAACAAGAGGCACGGCTACGGCTGCACCGTGTTTCCTGATGGCTCCAAGGAAGAGGGGAAATACAAAAATAACATCCTGGTCCGAGGAATAAGGAAGCAGCTTATACCAATAAGAAATACAAAAACTAGGGAGAAGGTGGATAGAGCCATTGAAGGCGCGCAGCGGGCGGCCGCCATGGCCAGAACCAAAGTGGAAATAGCCAACTCAAGGTATGTGACTACAATGCTGAGCGGGTCGCCTGGCTTAAGGGATGGAGGGCCTCCAGAACACTGCAGTCTTCTGTGTGTCTGCTGATAGGTTCCTAGTACACTTAAAAGGGTGAAAAAAATATCAGAAAATGATTGACTCCAACAGAATGAGCGTGAGAAACCATTTTCAAACTTTGTTGAAGGTAGATGGAAGGACTTTCCTCTTCTAAATGATGTCCGTTATATTTAACAAGCTGGTAGAGTTCATTCTGACACCCTTCTAAGGCCAGAAAGGTAATATTTTTAAAAGGGCCTCTGAAATACTGTCACGGTGTTGTGTGTTAAAAGAAAATATCCCTTTAAGGTAGAAACATACCTCCAATATATACCTTCATTACAATATTAAGTCGAACATATTGACAACTCCCAATAAGATTATTCTAGTTTATGAAATTTAAACTGTGGTCGCTGAGGCATAGGAATCAGCTTTGAGAAAGACTCGGGGGTCCAGGCAAGGCCAAAGCAGAACGTGACAGCAACAGCATGCGTGTTGGGAGCCAGAGCTCCTCATGGGGACAGACCAGGAGACCAAGGCTGTGAAGGATCGCCCCAGTCTGCGCAGGAAGGATTAGATCACTGGTGTATTAAAAGGAAAGGGGCGGAGAGAACTTGACGTGGACAGATGGTGTTCTGACTGTGCCAAGGCTGGAGGAAAGTAGAGCAGTTGAGCGGAGGGCTGGCACAAGCAGGAGAAAACGGGTCGGTAAGAGATTGGCAAAAAGACACATATGGGCATGGGAGAGTTTTGTGCTTGAGGTTTTACCCTAGAAACAAGGCTCAGTGGGTCAGTGTAAGGGATGCAGTCGGCTGTTAGGGATAGAATTTTATTAAGGATAGGTACCCATCCGTTAGACAGGAAAAGAAAGGATTGGTTTTGCCTGGAGGTTTTAGTTATAAAGGTTAAGGACTGGCCATAGTGGTGTGTGGCTTCAGTCATAAATTTGGCATGAAATATTCAAAGTCCTGATTCTGTTCCAGGAATACTCGTCTATCTCAGTAAACCTTTCTGAAACCATACAATACTAGCACATCTTCAGGGGTTTTCATTACTAGTACCAAATATAATTTATGTGCTAATATTCAGTGAGTAAACCCCACCTTGTTTGGCTGGGCAATAGGAAATTTACAATACTTGCAAAATTTGTAACAGACTTATTTATTATTTATGTGGATGTGCCTGCATAAGGGTATATGTACCACAAGCTGGGTCCCATCGAGGTCAGAAGAGGATGTCGAGTGCCTTGGAGCTGGAGTGACAGGCAATTCCGAGCTACGGTGTGGGTGCCAGGAACCAAAGTGAGGTTTTCAACAAGAAGACCACATGCTCCTAACCACAAAGCCATCTCTCTCTCTCCACCCCAGTATTTGAACTTCTGGTGCACACACAAAAACATGGTAGCTTCGTAACTGTTCAACTTAATACTTCTAGAATTCTAGATTTATTTGGTTTGGTTGTCAATGCTCCTGTTTTAGGAGCACTATTGTATCTGAAACACTAAATGGAAACTGAAAAGGGGTCCCCCCGCCCTTTTTTTTTTTTTTTCATTTTTTTAGGCTTTGAGGTTTTTCTCAGTTCAAACTGCCATGTAGGATTTCCCCTGCCCTTTTTCCCCCAAGCATCATCTCATGTAACAGATTTCTTTGCTAAATGCTAGATCTGTGTGCATTTCAGGGGAATGTGTGGCTCAAGGAGTCTTGATGGCGTTCCTGGCCCTCAGCTCCCTTTTAGAGCTGACGCTGCACCCTGTGCTTGCTAGGCCCTAATGGCTAATGGAGTCTTCCATTTCAGGCTCTCCTTACAAGTCAGTGACACACTTGCAGGCAAGTTCAGGCTTGGCGGGTGGGAAATAAGCCTGTGCAGGGCGCTCTTGCTAAGGTTGTATTCTAAGTATCAGTTTTTATGATTTGTTTCAGTTAAAGGAACACCTAACCTAACTGAAGTGGGCATACGTGGGACACAGAGACTGTCCATGGTTATCATTACAGCGTAAAGAATTTTTTCCAAGTCAGAGCCGTATGCCCGTTGTTGAAAGTGGCATGTAGTTTGGGGACAACATATCATATACTTTAATAGTCCAGACATCTTTTGACCTTAGGCTTTTCAGCCGCTGAAATTTCAGTTAGCGATTTAAAAATACTCAATTCGTGCACTGGAGAGATGGCTCAGAGGTTAAAAGCAATGGCTGTTCTACCAAAGGTCTTGAGTTCAATTCCCAGTGACCACGCGGTGGCTCACAACTATCTACAATGAGATCTGGTGCCCTCTTCTGGTGTGCAGGCATATGTAGGCAAAATACTGTATTTAAAAAAAAAAAAAAAAAAAAAACCTTAAAAAAATACTCAATTCATTCTGCTGAGTACAATAAACTGGTGGCAGAAGGACACGCAGTACTTGATCCTGCTTAGATGGAACACCTAAGATGGTCAAACTACAAAACAGAACAAAATGGTAGCTATCAGGGAACAGGCGAGCTGAGGAGTCACTGCCTGTGGGTTTTCAGCTGAGGAAGTGTGGAATGTGTCAGCTCAAGTGATCCCATGCACCACCACGCCTGTAGTTCACAGTACTGGGCTGCACATTGAAAACATTAGATGGCTAGAGTTGTATGAGGTGATTTTGTGTTTCCACAACATAAAGGTAATATTCAGATGATAAAACAGATAAAAAATTTAAAACACTCAGCTAAACTTATACCTTCTTTCATTTTTCATTGTCCTTCCGTGATGTAATGGACAGAGTTTTGACTCTATTTTTGGAAAAAGTAGCTGACAGATTGACATTTCCTGTAAAATAGTTGCGTTTGGACTAACATTTCTCATGAAATGGTTGAGTTTAGAGTTAAGGACATAGGTAGATATTAAACATCACAGGGTATATGTGTAGATGGATTACTAGCAGGTTAGTCCTTTAAAAGGTCAAAATTAGAGCCTGGGAGATGGCTCAGTGGGGAAAGGTATTGGCCACAAAGCCTGATAACCTGAGTCTGATCCCCAGACCCATGTGGTAGAAGGAAAGAACCAGCCTCTGCAAGTTGTCCTCTGATCTTCAGCATATGCCACATATACACGCATGAGCAAATGTGTTGTTGGTTTTTGTTTTTTTTTTAAGTCAAAACTATACAGGATGCTGATAACTTATTGGCCCATAGAATTTTTTTTCTTGGGTTTCTGTTCTGATTCAAAAATACTATAAAAAGTGATATTCTTTTTCTTCCCTTCTTGTCTTGATTGGGGTAAAATTCATCGTCGGTGACTGACATCGGTCTGAGCTCTGTTGCTTAAGAAATGCTAAACAGATAGAGATTATTTCAAGAAGTAAGCAGCTGTGATTATTTCAAGAAGTAAGCATGCCTAGCCATCCCTAGACTTCCATGCCAATAGCTGAGCTCAGCCTCCCTGTTATGTAGATGGACATACTCTCCAAGAGACATTCAAACCAGGAAGAACCATGCCCACACCCAAACCTAGGTCCCTGTCTTTCCTTCACCCATGTTTACTCTTTGATAGGACCTGATCAGCTGGGCCCACTTTTGACTCACTGAAATATTTCAAACATCAGACCTGAGAATGGGTCTTTTATAACACTTGGGCCTGTGTTATAGAAGTCCTTTTGAGGAGAAATGACTATAAAGATCACAACGCCGGAGCATGAAGGGCTGTGAGCTCTTATCCAGTGTACTCCCCCCATTCAGAGGCAGCTATGAGGCTCTATCTAAGATTACCTCCTATCCCTCTGACTTGACCTGCTACCAATACTCAGTGACCTTTCTCTTAGCTCTCCCTCCAGCAGTTCCTTCTGGTGTCCTTGTCCTTTTGTCCTGATCTTCGTTCAGTCAATATTTACTTCATCATGGCTCCAGCAGTCCCTTAGGTGAGACCTTCAAGAAGGCGCCTACGTTGGGGGAAAGATTTTGTAAGAAAGGAAAAGCACATGGTTGAAAGGGCGAGTAAGAAGTGGCCTTCACAGAGCCCATACTTCTTTAGAAACAAGTGACATTCCGGAAGAGTGAAGTCCAAAGCAGAGTCTTATGTTAAGCCGAACCTCGGGTAGCAGTCATCATAGAAGAGGGCTGTGATGCCTGGGAATGTGAGAGGGACAGGAGAGCACGGGCCTTGCGGCCACCGAGGCTGTACGTGTGTGCTCATGCTAGGGTTGTCCTATCATAGTCTCTAGAGGAGGCAGGAAGATGGCAGACTAGAGAGTTCGCAGCAATTATTCCCTCTACACACCTGTCCTGGCCCTGCTCGTTTCACAGAAGCTGGCGAGGCTCACTGGGGTATGGCTAGCCAGGCTTCAGTCTTGAGATGTCAGGAACTGTGAGACAGAACAAGTACTGTGAGGCACTTGTGCTGCCGCCGTCAACCTCACCCTGACCTTAAGCATCCCTTCTCGTGACAAGAGCAGCATCTAGACAGGTGAGGCTAGGAGGATCACTCCTGCCCTCCCTGTCATCCCAGGGATGACGTAGAAAGTGCTGAAATGGAGAGTGTATGGAAGGCTTCGGGTTCGGGGGACCAGAGGTCGCCTTGCTGTGTTTGTCTTCAGAATTCTAGAGGACATTCTACACTCACGGGTTGTAGACTAAATGTGAAAACACCTCACATGTTATTGCAGGGTTTTAAAGACTGCTTCCCATACTCTTATAATTCCACCCCTCCCCCCAAGAATGAGTCAGCTACGTATCTTTCTTTCAGTGGGAAAGCCCCTCTACATGGAGCCTTGCCCTGGCTCGCTGTGGCTGGCTCTGCATTCCTCACTCAGATGGCAGTATAAATCGTCAAGGAAATTACCCAGGAACCCATTCTCTGCGCTCCACTTTCATCCTCCTCATTATGCATTAAACATGGATTCTCATGTAAATCTTGGTTGTCATTGCATGTGTTGACTCTCTCCTCAGCTAGATTGGGAGGAGCTGACTCTACTGGTAGCTCTCTGGTCCCTCTTGTGTCCCCAACATGAG